TAGTGATGCTATTCATATGATAGACTCCGTAATCATGTGTCATGTTTATGAAGTAAGCTTTGGTAACAAGTAAATTATCAAATCAGAAAATACCCTGGATATGAAACCGAGGCACATACACTTGATTGCCTTGTAATTTAAAAGGCAATTAATATGGAATGTAATGTAACTCTTGACCAACAGACCAGTGATAAGAGCATTTGCCAAGTAAATGCAAGACTGGGTTTGTAGGCACTTCTCAGCTAAAGGAGATTCAAATGTGCATCTCCCACCTCTCTGGACAGTGCCCTAACCCCCTGCCTACAAAACAGGCTATGTACCTTCCACCTCTTCTGTTGAAAGTAGGTCATTAAGTGCCACAAGTCATAAGGAAGGCCATTTGCTAAGAAGAAATCAAGCCAAACAAACTTGTGATGCTTCCTGCTCACTCTTCGACAAAGAAACGATTTAGGAAAATGAAGGGAATGCTGTGGATATAGTGTATCTGGATATCAGCAAGGTTTTTGACAAAGTCCCACATGATCTCCTCATAAACAAATTGGAGAAATGTGGACTGGACAAAAGTACTATAAGCTGGTTAGATAACTGACTCAATAGCCAGAAGCAAAGGGATTATAAATGGAACCATGTCAGAATGGCAGGAGATTCTGAGTAGAGTCCCACAGGCATCTGTCCTGGGTCCAGTGCTGTTCAACATGTCTATTAATGACTTGGTTGCTGGAATTGAGAGCTTCTTGGGCAAATTTACAGATGAAACAACACTGAGAAGGACTTCAAACATGTTGGAGGATGGGAATGCAATTTAGAAAGATCTTGACAAACTGGAAAGCTGGGCTGGAGCTAATGGGATGAAATTCAACGAAGGCAAATGCAAGATGCTACACCTTGGGAAGAAGAGTCAAAAACACAACTAGAAAAGGGGTTGCATTTGGGATGGCAGCACTACAGAGAAGGATTTGGGAGTCTTGGTAGATCACTGATTCAATGAGTCTGCAGTGTGACGTAGCTGCACAAGAGGCAAATAGAGTTTTGCATCCATAGCAACATTAAGTACAAGACATGGGAGGTGATAGTGCCTCTTTACTTGGCACTGGTTAGGCTTCATTTAGAGTACTGTGTTTTGGGCTCCTTATTTTAGGACACAAAGTTAAAGAGGGTCCAGAGGTGGGCAGCAAAAATAATCAGCGGCTTAGAAGGCAAGTCAGACAAGGAAAGGCTGAAAGAAATACGCATATTCAGCTTGCAGAAAAGGCACTTAAAAGGGGATATGATAGCTCTTTAGATATTTGAAGAGTACTGTCATAAAGAAAAGGAAAAACACCTTTTCCCTTTTGCTGCAGGAGCAGGATGCAGACCAATGGCTTAAAATTGCAGCAAATTTGCAAAGATTGGATATCTTCTGAGACTGGATATCAGAAAAAAAACAAACTATTTCACAATTAGAACAGTGAGGCAATGGAATGGATTGCCTAGAGAAGTTGTGGGATCTCCATCATTGGAGGTGCTCAAGATAAGGTTGGACAAGCATTGGTCAGGGCTAACCTACACATAGCTATGCTTGTGCTCTACTGTGGGTATTTCCCATGTTTCTGGGCTTTGCTGATTACTATATGTAGCTGGGAAGGAATTTTCTCCACCTCCTGATGCTACAAGCATCAGGTTTTGGGGTTTGGGGCAGGGGGGTCACCTTCCTTAGAAGTATTGGGAGTTGGCTACAGCCAAACCTGGAGATTTTGATTGGGGTGCATCAGTGTTCCTGCTGGGACTAAAACCTGGAGTTTCTTGGTTAGGGAATCTAGCCCCCCTACTCAGGGTCAGACTGATTGCCATATTTGGGATCAGAAAGAAATTTTACCCCATGGTCAGACTGGTGGACTGTGGCAGTTTTTTACCTTCCTTTGTAGTAGGCAGTGTAGCCCTCTTCCTCAGCTTTCTTAAGTATTTTCTAACAACCTTCGCAACAGCAGGACATTGGCCACCCAATCAGAGATTCTCTCTACCCCCCTTTCTCCCTCCCCTCAAAAAAGGTTAAATAGCTCCTCTATCTCCAATTGAGCCCACACAGCACAGAGCAACCCCCTAAAATACTCAGCTGTTTCCTTTCCAGTTTTCCCTAGCTCCTGAGCTCCAAAGCCTTTCTGCTGGTCTCTCTCTCATCATGCTCCTCAGGCAGACAAGGTTCTTTGGGTAGATGTGATATCTTTTATTAGACCAACTAAATAGTTGGGAAAATTGTTCTTTGCAAGCTTTTGGGCACAAACACCCTTCTTTAAGCATAGGGAGAGTCTGCTGGTGTGTGTGCTGTCCTGGGTGGAATAAAAGGCAAAATGCAAAATGCAGGTCTGTGAAAATGCAAATGCCTGGCAGTGAGGATCAGAGATCATGGGAGATGTATGAGACAGGAAGGGAGTGGGGGAATGTTGACCTGGTGACATAATGTAGCTGATGAAATACAGACAGGTTACCTGGGGCTATCGGATGGTTATAACATGCCATAAATTTGGACATGCCAGGACAAGAAATGTAACACCTGACAACAATTCTCCACCACTCCCACAATAACTACAGACCTATCACTTCCACAACAGACCTACCACCATCCCTGGATATTACACCTCCACCTCCAGAAATGTAATATACCTCATCCAGTGTGCTAAACGACCTGATGGAAAATACATGGAAGAAACCAAAAACAACTGCATACCAGAATGAACACACACCAAAATTCTATCAAAGAAAAAAATACCCAGTTACCTGTGGGTGCACACTTCTCACAAGACAACCACACTCTCTCCAATCTCTCATTTCTAATCCTCAAAGAAAATTAAGCAAACACCTTTTGTAGATGAGCCTATGAACTTCACTTCATCAATCTACTGGATACAAATATCATGGACTAAATATAGACATTGGATTTATGGCACATTATAACCTGCCTGCCATCTAATAACCCCAGGTAACCTGTCTGCATTTTACAAGCTACAGTCTATCACCAAATCAACATTCCCCCCTTTCCCCACCCCCACCACCTACCTGTGTCATACCTATTGTCTCTCATGTTTTCTGAAACTCACTGCCATGCATTTACATTTTCACAGACCTGCATTTTGCATTTTGGTTTCTATTCCACCTATTCACACAATTCACCAGCAGACTCTCCCTATGCCGGAAGAACAGACTTGGTGGTCAAAAACTTGCAAAGATCAATTTTTCTAACTATTTAGTTGGCCTAATAAAAGATGTCACATTTACCCAAAGAACCTTGTCTGCCTATGTCCTTAGACCAACAGGGCTATAACCAACCCCCCTCCCCCCCCGCACGCACTCTGTCCAGCCTGTTCTTCCCATTGTTATGCTTAGCTCGTCCTCCTCCAGCTGATGCCTCTGGGGTATTCTCTCAGAAAGAATGTGTACAAAGCCCACCTGAAACATCAACAGGATTCAAGTCTTGTTGCTGCTAGGAATCCCTCTTGTCTTGTCTTGTCCTGTACATAACCAGCCCCTTTATTCCCTATCCACAGGCTAATGAGGTAAACTGAGGCACACAACACTATAACAATATGAATGCAGTTCACATAGAAATTCTAATATTATAAAAGCCTAAGTCTGTCTGTCTGTCTTTAATGCTTTCTTCGCACTGTGATTGGCTGACGGAAACAGCGAATCAGAGTGCTTCAAGCATGGGGGAGTGCCACCATGATTCTGAAGCCACACTGAGGACTGAACAGGGGGTGATGGAGCAGGGGCCAGCAGCACCATCATTCTTGTTGGGCAATCGGCTAGTTACAATAAACACCATAAAAAAGTTTTTAAAAATTCCCAATTTCAACCTTTTCTGTCACACAAACTGCATCATTCTTCCTGAATTTGTGTTGCACTTGTGTCTTTCAGTGTATGGCCAAAGATTATGCATTTACAAAAAATGACACACTTATCATTTCTCTGAGAAATGAAGAAAAATAAACACTTTTATAACTGATGGTACTATGATGAAGAAGACCATAGACATTTTTGTCAAGTTGTGCCTTTCTCCAACAGAAAGAGCTCTGTTTGTGTGTGTTTCTTCATTTCTCAGAGAAATGATGTGTCATTTTTGTGAACGCATAATCTGTGGCCATACACTGAAAGACATAAGTACAACACAAATTCAGGAAGAATGATGCAGTTTATGTGACAGGAAAGGTTGAAACTGGGAATTTTTTTTTACTTCATTGTTGAAATTATTATCAGTCAATGGTGATAAAAGATTTTGCATCAAAAAGCAACAAAGACATTTTAGGCAGAAAGCTGTGAGAAAAAAGAAAGACGTGACAAAAATAGTGCTTTTCTGTACCTTTCTCCAGCAGAGAGCTCTGTTTGTGTATGTTTCTTCATTCTGTCACAGAATAAGGACTATAAGATAATGACAAAACAGTAGATAGCATGCAGGGTAAATTTGTACCTTATAGACTAACTAAATCAGAGGTGCATAGCATAAAGTTTTGTAAGCAGCAGCTTACTATATCAGATGCTAACTTCTTTCTTACTTTTTACCTACTACAGCATCTGATGAAGCATTTACTTACTACAGAATAAGTCCATCAGCATCTGATAGTGAGCTGCTGCTTAGAAAAGCTTATGCATCTCTGATTTAGTTAGTCTATAATACGCAAATCTACTCTGCCTTCTTTCTGCCTGACTTCAGACTAACACAGCTAACTGCCTGTCTGTGATCTTGGATGCAAAATCTTTTATCACTGTTGGTTGATGACAGTAGATAACCTCCAGACGCACAACATTGTGATGCCTTGTTTTGGGGCAGTGGTTCTCAACCTTTTTAAACTCAAGGCGGCCCTTGGAAAGTATCATTTCTTAGTTTTCACTTTCTTTTTGATTTAAAAAAAAAATAAGAAGAAAGCAGTTTTCGTGTGCGTGTGCGCGTGCCCAGGCCGCCTCAGGCTCCGGGCGGGGCGGCGGCGCGGTTCGGGCGCTAGAGGCGCTGCGCAGCAGACACGCCGGGCGCGGCGCGGCCATAGCGGATGCGGGGCGGCGGTGATGGAAGGGGAGAGCACATCGGCGCTGCTTTCGGGCTTCGTGTTCGGCGCACTCGCCTTCCAGCACCTCAACGCCGGCTCGGACACTTTGAGACCCGCCCTCACTGCGGCGCGTCTCCACGCGGGGGCTGGGCCCTGGGCCCGGGCGTCCCCGAGGCGCCGGGCGGGGGTTGCCCTCACACTGTATGCTGGGTGTGCGTGGGAGGGATGAGACTGGTCCCGGCCCCTGCGGTTTCGGTTTCGTGTCAGCCCTGGAAGCCCGCCCTCCCCCAGTTGCAGTTTAACAGCCGCGGCCTCCCTTGCGGGGCGGGGCCTGGGCTGCCAGTCGTGCCCACAGCACCAACGCCCGGTCGCTCCCTTCCCTTCCCTTCCCTTCTTGATGCTGCACGTGGCAGGGGGTGTTTAAGCCTCCTTCAGAGGTACTGGGTGTTGGCTGCAGCAGCCAAGCCTGGAGAAGGTGCGTGGGCAGTGCCAGTGTTTCTGCTGGGACCAAAGCCAGAGGTTCCTGGCTGGAGGGCATTGCCCCTCTGCTGGGGGTCAGACCCATCCTCATATTTAGGCTCTGGAAGGAGTTTCACCCCATGCTCAGACTGGCACAGGCTGCGGGGCTTTTGCCTTCCTCTGTAGCACGGATGCGGCCCTCTGCCAGGAGTCCCTCGGGTGTACACTGACAGCATTTCATAGAAGCAGGGCGTTGGCAGCCATAGGTCCCCTGCTTCACCCATGGCAGGGGAGGGTGTTGTGCCAGGGCTGACAGTAGTCTTCTGTAGAGTTTAGATCAGAGAGACAAAATACAGGCTGAAGGCCAGATTCAATCTGCCAAGGGGATTCGTCCGACCCATAGTGGGTCCCTGGACCTGCTTGGCCTGGGTGGTGGAACATGCAGCTTGTCCCACCGGCCCCGGGTGTGCAGTGGGGCTGAGGCACCATGGCCAGACTCACTTCCTGGCAGCCCCCACAGTGGCAGCTCCTGCCAGCCTCTGCCACTGGACCCAGCCCTGCTGCCCAGGCACCCCAGCCTGCCCACCCCACACCCAGTGCCAGGGACATTGGACCCACTCCATGGAGACTGGCCCAGGACCTGTGTGGGCAGAATACACTGATGGGATGGGGCTGTGAGCAGGCAGGGAGTGGCATCCAGGAGCGGAGCGGAGGCAGGGGCGGAGAGGGCAGGGTTGGGATCAGGATTGGGGGCAGTGACAGTGTGGGGTCAGGGCCCAGGGCAAAGCTACAATCCACAGCCCATGCGTCCCTTCAATGGGCACTAGTTCCATGTGCACAGGCATGCCAGGAACAGATCGTGGCTCTACACCAGGCCCCGGCCCCACTCTGTAACCACCCCCAATACTGATCCCAGCCCTGCCTGGACCAATCTCCATGGAGACCCTGGAATTGCTAAGTGTCAACAGAGTGGGGCCAGGCCCCAGGCAGAGCCACTTAAGCAGTTGCTGTTTTGTGGGCAGGGGCTGAGCTGACCTGGTGTGTGACAGTTCACTAAAATTCCCTAAGTGGCCCTCCGGCCCAAATAATTGCCCACCCCTCATATAGATTATGGATTGATTATATAGGTTGGTTTAGAAAGAAATAATCTTGCCTCAGGCAGAGGGTTGGACTAGAAATTCTCTTACCAAGAACAGTGGTTCCCAACCTTTTTTATACTGTGGACTGGCAAACATATTTAAATTTACATATTTAAATTTAATTTTTACGTGAGGATTGGATTGTGTTGGGGCATTGCAGCCATGGGCATCAGGAGACCCTGCAGGGCAGGGGGCTGCGCAGGCCTGGGGGGACCGAGCTGGGGTCTCCCAGGAAGAAGGGGCTCCACTGCCTTCCCTAGGAGCAAGCAGCGGAGCCGCCTCCCCGCACTCTTCCCCAGGCATTTCCTGGTCCACGTGGCCCCGCTCCCAGCTGTGGGCGGGGCTGGGGGGGTCCTGCCCCTCCCGGCACAGGGCCCTGTACCTGCTCTGCAGGCAGGACCGCACCTCACCAGGCATAGCCATCGTGGCAGGAGTGGGACAGGGCATACAAAGCCAGCTGCCTCTCTCCCGGGGCTGCCCCACCACCCAGCTTTAACCCCGCACATGAGTGCCGGCAGCCCAGCAGTCAACCCTTCCGGGCCGCAGCAGTGATTGGGAACCTCTGACCTAGATTACAGGTAAACCTCTGTGTAGACTACTGATAAAAGAGACAGGAACAGGTCTACAATCCAACCTTTTATTTGCTTGCACCTTAAAACAAGAAAACAAACTTTTATCCCAAAGTCTATCTGGCTACCCACAATAGCACAATATAGATCTCCTCTATACAGGCTGGGGAGACTCAAGGTGAGAGGAGGGTGGCACGCAAATCGGCAGCAGGTCTTCTTGAATTTTTAGAGTTCTCCAAATTTCCCTCCAGCCCATGCCCAATATTAAAACCAGACATTCTAAATATTCTAATAAATGACCTCTGATTGGTGTTATTTAAATTTCTTTGTTTCACTGAAACTTTTGGAACTGGAATGAACCAGATCTTTTGTGGACTTGGAAGGTATCAATTATTTGGGATTTATA